ACAAGCCTCTTTACCCCAGCAGTTTAATGAAAAATGTGAGCACGTGCCTGGATGTGAGTTTGCTTCACGCTTGTCACATGTTCACTGTTTCATATCTCAAGGCATAGTGTTCATTTAGGGCAAGGATCTGTCATTATATACATATTGATTGCCTTAACATGTTCAGGCTCTTTTGGCTGACTTCGTGTTCGATCTGAACAGATCATTATTTTTTGTTAGTTGTTTGTTGTGTATTTGGTTTAACTACATAATCCAGAGGGGAAAATGTCCTCTTTGCTATTTGCATGGTTTGCTTTTGCTAGTTTTAGAAGCATCACCTTCAATCCATTTTATCTCTGTGGGATACATTTCTCTTAAACTATCCTACCTTTAAAACTCGGAAGCATAACTTATTAATACACTTACCCAGGAGCCCATAAACTTCAAGAGATGGCAAAGTACCCATTGGAGACATGACGGAAGGCCAGTGTCCCTAAGCAGCCCCTCAGAATTACAGGATGATCCAACCTGTCTCAGGTACTTTAAGGACCTGATGTTTCATGTGACCACCTGAAGAAACCAATGTCATTTTATGTATTAAGTAATGAGCAAAGCTTAACTTCGTTCTCATTTTTTGGAGCTGATAAACCAGCAGGGATTTTCTGTTGTATTTTCACATTGTGCAATGGCCCTCCTTGCCCACCGCTTGGACACCATTTCTTCTGAGGAATCTGCTTCAGTGATGGTTGCTCTTGTGGGTCCTGTTTGTGCAGGCCATTGTGTGAGATCCTCTTTGTCCCTTTTTGACAATTTTTCTCTCACAGGGACATAAAATAACATGTCGGTGAGTTGTCCAGCATATATTATGCTGAAATTGAGGCTTTCTGTGGAGTGAGAGAGTGAGGGCTGCATCTTTGTGGTCACAGTTGCTCTAGGAACTTGATTATACCTTTGCCTATGGCACATAACTCATGTGGCTATTTTCTCCATAAACTGTGCATAAAAATAGACTAACAAATGGAACCCTTGGAAATTGAACCAATCGCTATAGCTGTAGTATGTACTTTTGGTTATTCACATGTATCACTGCAATGCTAGTAGTACATATGAAATGCTATTTTCATTCATTCTTCATCCAAGTCATTAATAGGTTTTTATTAAAACCTCTGCATTTTCATTGGAAAATTAATATGCCCTCACAATAGAAAAATTAGCAAATAATAAAATGTTGAAAATTAAATATTCCAATTACCGTAAAATACAATATACTTATCATTTTGTTGTATTCTTGCTCATATGCTTTGTACAGTACTTTTACACTGTCATGCTCGCGTTATGTACACTTAGGTTTTACACAAAGCCTTATGATACTTGGGATTTATGTTTAAGTTAGAGGTCTGGAAAGTGCAGCTCCCTGGTCAAAGTTGTGGATTGTTTTAAGGTTTTGTTGTAATTGCCATCTAGGGTTTTCATGTTATTGTGGTTCTCACTCTTACCAGCAATGTATGAATTACTGGATATTTTATTACCCCCTTGGTAGCATTCATTCAACAAATACTTAATGCACAGTTCCTATTCATTCAGACTCTGGAGATGTAATGATGAAAAACATTACACATTTCAACTTTCTCCATGAAATTTACACTCCAGTTTGTGAGGCAGCTGTTAATCATACAATTACACAAATAGGTATTACGATCACGAGTTGTAAAGCAAAATACTCACATCTGTTCAATAGCAGAGATAGGTACATGGAGGCAAATTGTTTGCTTTCTGTACTTGTTAATGTACTTAGAAGGTTTCAAAGTTAAATAATTTTTGATGTGTAAAAAATAAGTTAAACTTATGATGAACTGGCCATAAAAGCACCCAGCGGAAGAATATGCCCTTGTCAGAGGGGTCACAACATGTCCCCATGGAAATGAAGTATTGCACCTAGACTTAGATAAGAGGAAAAGGAGTTTACTAGGGAAAAGTGCATGCCGAGGGGTGCTGGCCTGCACAGGAGTGCAAGGAACACTTATGTGCAGGTGGACATTCTGGAGATAGTGAGGTAAAGGGAACAGGATAAATTATGGGATGTTTGCAGTCAACCCACTGGGACCCAGGTGAGGCTTCATGGAGGGGATGGGTGTGGCAGTCAGAGACCAGGCCAGCAGAAAAGATGGGGCCTGATCGCTGGGGGACATCTGCATAGGTCATGGACAGTGAAGAGTCACTGTGTATTTCCAGATCTGATGGAGCACAATAGGCAGGTGCAGGTGGGAAGAGCACCACAGAGTGGTAATGAGAGGCTGGCCCTGAGAATAGGAAAATGGAGAAGAGGGAGGGATACTGTAAGAACCATCTATAGGAGACAGCAACTCTTCAGGTGGGGTTAAAAACAAGCATGACCTTCAAGGGACTGACACTGTTAACATAAATAGTAAGATCAGGAGTAGAGATAGTCTTGGCAGGAGGTGATGGAAGGGGGAGAGTGCAGATGGTAGTGGAGGAAACTATAAACTTACAGTAATCAAGCTTCAGGTTTGGTGAGGGTTTCATGGGATGCAGATTTGTTGGTAATGCAGCCAATGACAAAGTGGAGGGGACCTGATTTTTAGGAACTTTAATCCTTTTTAATGTTTGCACTATGATTTTATATCCCACATTCACCTCTGGGTACGTAGGATTGGAGTGCAGGCATGGCTACGGCACTCTTTGAAATAGTGGAGTTTCTGTTTTACTTATTTTATTTTTATTTTTTAAATTTATTTTAGCATATTGGCTTCCATTTATTTTAGGTTATTAAAAGGTTTTGGTTTAATCCTTCAGGCTGTGGAGGCCACATTCTGTGGGCAGGGCCCAGAGGTGAGTGTTCTGAGTGCTGTGCCCTTTGTCTGGTTACTTAATTTCTCATTCTCAGAATCGCCTTCCTATCAAGTGGAGGTGTGGTGAGGATTCCATGAGTTAACCATGGAATATTCTCAGAACAATGTCTGACCCCTGAAAAGAACTCAATGTTGTTGTGATTTTTAAAAACAAAAATGCGAAGCTTAGTGGAGCTAGATAAATCAAAATTAATTTGCTTTTTTCATGTAATTAAAGGAAGGTTCAAAACACTTTTGCTTTATTTTTAGTCTCTTAACAAATGAGGCCTGGCCCAAAAGTGCTCTCTGTGTAATTAAGATTCCTTAATCTATGAGCAGGTCCGCATCTTCTTACTGCCTAGCCTGATCAGTAACTCCGGAAGACTTATGAGCAAAAATATAGGATTATTTAAAAATAAGTGATGTCAGAACATAAAGGTTCAACAGAAAAATCATCAGCCTCTTAAATCCTCTGTGTTCCATGGCAATCAAGAAATTCTCCCCTACTTTTTTACTTTTGATCTCTTTCTTGCTACCTATTTTCAGAAAAGACAATAAACACGACAAAGCAAAAATCAGAAAAGAAGTCTTCAGTAGACAGAGTTTATAGCCACTCAAATCCAGCTGGGTAAGGTGCAGTAGTAACAATTTTTCACTAATGTGCATGTTAGAATTAAGTGATTTTGAAGTTATATAGTACAGAATGAGGAACACATGTAACTCAAACCTATTACACACTTAGGTATTTTCTTTTATCACCCTAGTCTTAAAAGCATCTATGTCCTGACATGTGTGTTCAGATTGCTGTGATATGGTGCTACTTGAGCATTATTTTCCAGAAGGTTCTTTCCAATTTCATATGATCAATGAAGCAAATGTGTATCATGCATAGAAACAGTTATTGGATCGTGTTTCATTTCCCAAAGACTCACCAAAGCCTGAGGCTGTTCTATTTGGGGGCAGTTATGCATTTTTTTTTTGCATGTATATTGCTGGTGTCCCCTTGTTGTGTGTCTGCTGCTTCTCTGTGGATCACAAGAGGCTGGTTTCACCCTTCAGGAGTGTCCTGCTGTTTGACAGTACGATCACATTTGCATATCCCATCTAGCTATTGTGGAGAGAAGCCAGTTGCTATGGTGAGGATTATGATGTCCCACACCAAATCTAGTCCTGAGATGGGGACGGCCTTTGAAAAACCACATGCAAATATTTATTCTCAAAGATACAGTGGCCCTTTGGGAAGCACTGGATTACTAGCCTGGTTACTTTTTCTGTGAATCATCAAATGAGAAGATCAAGACTTGTGATTTCCCTTTTTGTGAATCTAAATTTCCACTGCCCTCTACAAAACTATATCTTTTGATCAAGAGTCAGATTCTGTTTTGTATAATTTTACTGTCTCTTTTGGTTAGGTAAATAGATAGGTTTATCTGTCTAATTTGTCCAGAATATTGCTGTAGCGCTGACCTCCCTGTGTAGGTTGGTGCAGTTGGTTTTGTATTTTTTTGGTGTGTGTGTGTTTGGTGCTGGGGATTGAACTAGGGAGCTTCCCATGATAAGCACCTGCTCTGTCACTGAGCCACACCTGCCCTCTCACGTAGCTTTGCTTGTGCTTCATCTCAGTTTACAGGTACAGTGTTCCATTCTCCTTTGCAAGTGTCTGGCCACCACAGATCCCTTCAGGCATGGAGGACAACCCTGGATAAAAGGGGATGTTCTCTAAACTGGGACTTTTTCTAAGAATGTGTGTTAAGTATTAGCATAAATTTTTAAAAGAATACAGGTTTATCACATTTGGGGACTTTTAAGGAAAAGGAAAACTCCGTTTAAAAGTCTTTAAAAAAGTTTGTTAGAGTTACAGCTTTGCAAGATCCCTGCCATCTTGAATGATAATATTAAGTTACATTGTAATTTAAAGCAATAATTAAACTAATACCTTAGTTAGTTTAATAGTTTAAGGAATAAATTAAACACAAATATATTAGTTTCATAAAATGCCTATTTTCTGGGGCTTACTACAGTATTTTCTTTACCTTCTATGATTCATACTTCTGAGACATAGAATAAATATGCTACTGCTATATAGAATGTCCTGTTATTTCTGAAAAAGAAACAGAAAACAGTCTCCCTTGCCACGTGGTGAGGCTCATGACCACTCTGTTTGCCTTTCAGATCCCCAGCTCAAGGGTATAGTGACCAGGTTGTATTGCAGGCAAGGCTACTACTTGCAAATGCACCCCGATGGAGCTCTCGACGGAACCAAGGACGACAGCACTAATTCTAGTAAGTGACTACACAGGCCACCAGCCAGCACGGTTGGGAGAAGATGCACTGCTGCTTCCGTGACATTTTAGAGCTTCCTTTGCAAAAGTTTGGTTAGTTGGTTCAGTTTTACAAATGTTACACACTAGAGTGCCAGTATAATCTTACTAAAGCCACACGAATAAAAATACAATGCAGAAACAAACGAAATCTGAGACTTTAAGGTAATTGTAAGATGATAATCTCAGGTTTTTCACACAGTTTTCCAGACTCTAGAAGTTACTGTTACTTTTAATTTTATTATCATAATAGCCAAGTAAGTACACTAGTGTATTAAGATGAAAACTGAGTATGTATTTCCTTTGAATATACTATTTTACGAGGCCTGCAGCTTCTCAATGATACCTGTGGAAAATTCAAGAGCTATAAAGATTAAGTTGTTGTAAATGATAGAAATATAATTTTTCAGATTCTTCGCATTTAACAAGAACTCTTCCTTATGAAGAGGACATGCAGGCTGTATATCTCTAAACATATTGACTCAAATTTTAACCTCTTCATGGTATTGGGTCCATCATTTTACTAAAAATATCCAGAGTTTCCATCGTAATCATGTCTGTCCTCCTTTTACTATTTCTTTGTATTTATCTTGTCATGGTATGGTCTATCTGTTGTGCCTTCTTACTCAAATGCATTTTCCTTTCCCATATTCTGTTTATACTGATTCCCTCTGACACACCTCTTACTGCTCATGATAGTGAAAAGTAAAAGCTGTTATAGTAGGAATATTTCATCATAGAAAATGTTACTAGGAGTCGATGTGCGTCTCACCACCCATTCATCATTAGTTCTTCACCTGTGGAAGAACATCATTCTATTACAGGGAATTGGCATAGATAGCATCAGATGACAGGCACTTCCTTTTAAAAATTATACTAATAATTTAAATAATTTACACTAAATAATTGTATTCAGTAACACTCATTCTGAAAGAAGCTCTTGATATAAAATAGGCTAATTTTTATGTTTGGTGTTTCTACTTGAAATATGAATATTTTTCCAACCATTGTGTTTACTATTTTAGGTTTTGGCCATCTCTTCACTTCTATTTTTCTCCAACTTCTTTTTGATTTAACTTTGTCTCCATTTTCCTTCTTTCAAATTTCTGATTTTTTTCTCTTTATGTGCATTCTATATCCTTTTTTTAAAAAATGATTTGTTCTGTGCTTTATTGTTACTTTCTTCTTTTTATTTTTAAATTTAGGAAAAGGAAAAGTGAAAATCCAGGCACAGAGAAGCTTTTAATTCATAAGACCTTTGTCAGAAAATGTTGTTCACTTGTTAAGATTTTATCAGTAGATGGGACCTTTGAAGGTGATCAATACTTCCTGTCTTTGACCCAGAAAAGAGAGCAGGTTTTTGTGGTCAAGTTCGTGCATATGTGTCTGCTCATTTCCTTTCCCATCTGTAACTCTGTACCCATTCTTCCACCAAGAGGCATTTCCTCTGGTTCCTGTTTTACAGCGTTGTGGGTCATGGAGCTTAGGGATTTGTGAGTTTCTATGTCCTCACTGTTCTCTGGCTGTCCTTGCCCAGAGTCTAATAAAACATAAGATCTTGTTCTCCATAACTGCACTCACTTTCTGAGCCATTGTGTTTTGAGTGATGTCATCCATTTTATGACAAGAGTTTTCAACAAAGAAAATGAACCAGAGCTATAGAAAAATGCTGCTTCATTGGACTGCTTGGAAAAATAATTTTCTTCAGGACAAAAGTTTTATGAATTTTCCCCCAGCTTCTTTCTCTTTTAGAAGAGAAGTGTTTGGGGAGGCAGTAACACCAAATTGTTGACCCCTAATGATGAGAATCAATATCACTTTGAGATGTGTCAAGTAGACATTGTCTTTAAAGAGCATATTGATTGGGAATTGAATAAGCAGCACTGTCATTTCTGAATTGGCAATGTGCTGATGGAGACAGCATAGACATGCACACACAGTTGTAGACAGTTAGACACAGAGTTGGAAAGACAAGATAATCAGAGATGCTGCCTTCTGCTCTCTCAATGCCTGTGGCTTTTCTTTCTGCATGAAATCTGCCCTCAATGGAGCAAGAAACACTAGGTCACTTCAGAAAACTCCTCTGCTGGGAACAGTCCTAAGAAAGACAGGATAGGAACTCCAGAGAAAACACATCTGAGCCAAATCAAGTGCCCCCACTCATGGGAGTTCAATTCCTATGAAAAGACCTGGCCCATCACTCCCTTTGCTGTATTTTATGTGCACTGTAATCCAGTTAGGTTAGCTGTGTTATCATTTCAACATTTGCAAAGACTTAAAGGAGGTAAGATAAAGATTCTCTCCTTAAAAGGCTATTCAAGATTTATGATTACAAAATTTAACAAAAATTGGCAGGATTATAGTGGATTTATAAAAGCAATGGGAATTACCAATTAACTCTCCTTTTGTGCACTGTCACGTTTCAAAATTGAATACCACCATTTTTAGGATGAATTTTAAAATTGTTTTTCTTCTGATTAACTGCAATAGTCGCAGAAACTTCAGAGAAATTGTTAGCATTGAAAAGAATTTTTTAAAAAAATAAGTATGTGCACTAGAAATGCTGACACCTCCATACAGATATAACACTTAAGCTGAGAGTTTTTTCACATGGAGTCTCTAAGTACAAGCCAATGTACAGCTGCTAATGGGAGCACAGCCTGCTTGGTTTCAGGAGGGGGGTGATGCAGTGATTCATAATCATGTTTTCAGTTTTTGATGATTCTGAGCATAAACCAAGGATGTCATCCATAAACAGAAAAATAAATGAGAAATAACCTAAAACCCACCCAGATATGTCCCTAAAAGTCAACAAATGAAAAACTAAGGGCTTGAACCATGAAATCTTTCTGATTTGAGTTCAACACATTTTCTACTAAATATAGAATTATTTAGAAAGAAAAATCAGAACCTGCCTGCTAAGGTGCTCAGATGAGAAGAGGCAAAGGGGCTCCTGGATGGTGCACCTCCATGCCCCTGTCCTCCCAGGGTTCCACCCTGATACCTAGAGGTCTCTAGAAAGGAAAAATGGAGAAAGTCATTGATGACAGGTATATGGCCCTATGGGGAAGATGCTGTAGCAACGACTGCTTGTCATTTGAATGTGAGCATTCAGGTGCCTACATGGCCACAGTCCTAGAGGTGTATCCCTGTAAAACTACCAAATGTCAGTATTACCACACACCCTGTATTTTATTTTATTTTTGCTTTAATCTCAGTATTATCTTTTTTATTGATTTTTTAAAAAAATAAATGACATCAGAATGTATTACAATTCTTATTACACATATACAGCACAGTTTTTCATATCTCTGGTTGTATGTAAAGTATGTTGACAGCAATTTGTGACTTCATACTTTGGATAATGATGTCTATCACATTCCATCATCCTTGCTAATCCCCTGCCCCCTCCCTTCCCCTCCCACCCCTCTGCCCTGTCTAGAACTCATCTATTCCTCCCATGCTCCCCCTCCCTGCCCCACTATGAATCAGCTTCCTTATATCAGAGAAAACATTCAGCATTTGTTTTTCTGGGATTGACTAACTTAGCATTATCTTCTCTAACTCCATCCATTTACCTGCAAATGCCATGATTTTATTCTCTTTTATTGCTGAGTAAAATTCCATTGTGTATATAGGCCACCTTTTTTTTTTTTATCTATTCATCCACTGAAGTGGTTTTTCCTCCTTCCTTGTTTAGTTTTGGGGATGATGTGAATTATTTTTCTGTGTTGTAAAACTTCTTTTTACCCATTATAAGACTTAATAGATAGTTAATGGTAATATATATTATACTATTATGTATTATATACGCACTAATATTTATGAAAATATCAAAACTTCTAAAACCACCCCTCTCTGCTTAGAAATGCCCTGCCAATAAACTTGATGTGTAAACATTGTCATAACACCCCACAGGCTTTAGGATGGCCATTCTTACCTGAACTGTGTTAGGCTCAGTTGAGGAGCTTTCTTAATAATATTAATAACAACAACAACAACAATAACAAAATCCTTAAACCCTAAAACCACTCCTAGGGATTCTGATTTCACTGGTCTGGAGATGGGCGTGGTCATTTTCTCATGTAAACATGGCCAGTTTTAATGTTAAGCCAGGGTTGAAAACCACTGTTGTATAGAAGCTAGATTATTCCACAGAATGAACAAAGTTGCAGGATCACCTTCGTTATTCTTTATCCCCTAGGGTTTATACCATCAATTTATAATTGTGAAACATTCCAAAAGAGTAGAAAATTCTAATTCTTAATTAGTGTATCTGTGTTTTTCACTAGCCCCCCAGCCCCATCACAGTGTGTTCTGATAGTTCTCTACATTGTGGTGTTTCCATGGATTCTTCTCTTATTGTCTTCTGTAAATGATAATATGTTATAGTTTATAATTCAGGTTCCTTCCAAAACTATGGGGAAAAAAGAATATTTTGGTATGGTTTAAAGTATATTTCTAGAATTTTTCTCTTTACCACACCACATTATTTTGGTGAGTTCATGATGCACTGGCCTTCTAGAATTATACTATCTGCCTTACATCAAATATATCTGCACTTAAAATACCACTTGAAGGATGAAGGGTGAAATAATTAGATTTGAGTCAGGTTAGAATAGTTTGCATAGACAGGTGTATGATTATGTTTTACCTTAAAATTTCGCATACGATCAGTACTGATTTTACAGTTCTTATCCTTTCAAAATGTAAGGAGATGATACAATTCAGATTTCCTACACAAGAATAAACTTGGCTTTCTCCCACAAAGAAGCTACAATTGTAAGGTACCTCCTTATACCTAACAATACTATCCCATGTTCAATATTAAACAATAGAAAATGAGCAAAAGAAACATCTTTTTCCATAAGGGTATATTAATTCTCAGAATCCTATGCAATACAGCCCAACTTTAGTTTGCATAGTGAAAATGGATATACAATGAGTCATATGTGTATGTGTACCCCAAGCATTCTTCTAGGGTGAGTTTCTGTGGCCATGAAGTGCTATTTTCCTTTCATCATTTGTGCAGTGCAGACATGTTGAGGCCTCGGGAGCAGTAACATGTAATCATTGGAAGATGGGGTGTGTCTTTCTCCACCCTATTAGGCAAAAACATGTCTCTGAGAATAAAACAGAACACAATGTTAAAGTTTTTAAATTATGCACTGAGTAGACCCTGAGAATGAAGTCAAAAGCTCACATTTTTCAAGTGATTTGTCTTTTGTGGAATAGAGTCAAAGGCTTAAAGTTAAGATATTTTACTTATACATTTACTGTAGCATTTTAGTGCTTTCAGTGCCTGTTCTTGCTTGGTCTTATTGCTTAGAATTAGATTTGAGTTAATAAAGACCTGATAAGTCATAGATAACAGCACTGTGGATTATTAACAGTTCTCTTATAAATGTTTCTACAATGAAATCTTTAACATCATCAAGCAGTTATCAAATTAGAATATGCTAGAAAACTTACTAAACAGTCATGGAAATGCATTAAGGGGTATTAAGACTTAAAGACATCAATTATAACATTGCTAACTACACTGTGGGAACATATATAAAAATACTTTATTAACAAAGGAAGAAACAAATTATGTAAGGTAGTGAGTTTTTATCTATTAGGTGGGTAAATCTGAAAACTATTTGTTTTAGTTAGCTTTTTTGCTGCTGTGACTGAAGATCTGGTAAGAGCAATTTCAAGGAGGAAAAGTATATTTGGGGGCTCACAGTTTCAGAGTTCTCATGGTCCATAGATGGTTGACTCCTTTCCTCAGGCCTTTTATGAGGCAGAACCTCATGGTGGAAGGGTGTGTAGACAAAAGCAGCTGGGGACATAGCAGGAGGAAGAAGAGAGAGAAGTCCACTCAACAAGGACAAAATATAAACCCAAGGGCATGCCCCAGGGACCCACCTCCTCCAGGCACACCCTACCTGCCTTCAGTTACTACCCAGTTAAGACCCATCAATGGAGTAACACTGATTAAGTTAAAGTTCTCTTAACCCAAACATTCCACATCTTGGCAGATCAGATGCACATCTTTTCTTGGCTTTGCTGGTGTATCACGTTAGTTCTGCAAAAGTAACTTGGTTTTGGCATTACCTTTTTAACTTTGGCCTGCACTACATTGCAATAACCAATCACACCTTCCCTATGTGACAGATGAGAATAATCATTCAACCTGGACTTTTGAAATTCTGCCTTCTGAGACTCTTCACAGCTGATGTCTTTTGGAATCCAATGGTGTCAGATGTTGTGATACTAGAACCATAATTACAGGCTCAGTTCTGCCCATTATCCCACCAGTTCTTCAGAATGCTGCAGGCAAGAATACTAAGAAGACTTATAAATTGGAGCTGCAGCGCTAATTTTACCCACAGCAGAGTCTTCTTCATTATAAACGGAAATAAAAGTTATTTAATTGGAACATCTCAGATAGTAGCAATAAAGATATTTCTTAAGTAAATGAGCAAGATAAGAGTTGTGGTATTACTTCCCCTCTTCCTGCCCACTCATGACAGATGTTTATCTTTCCAGCACTGTTCAACCTCATCCCAGTGGGACTGCGTGTCGTTGCCATCCAGGGTGTGAAGACAGGGTTGTATATAGCCATGAACGGAGAAGGTTACCTCTACCCATCAGTAAGTAGCATGCCAAAGATGCTGCCAATCATTCTGCAGCAGCAGCAGCAACAAAATCCAGAAAATTCTATTGGTTCTGCCATTTCTGCTTTAGTATTTAAATTTCATTAGAAGGCTATAGGAGCTGTTTCCTCATTATTTATCAGTGTTTGGTAATGGGAATATCGAGAAGAAGAATAATTTTAGATATTGAAGTGACTGTTTGCCATACTTTCAAAAATGCACTTGTCTTATGGATTTTCTTGCAAAAATTTTTTAGTTCTTTCCATGCATTTTCTTTTGTATTAATTTATTTTTAATTGACATAATAATTATAAACAGGCTACATTGTGATGTTTTGATCCATAAATACATCATAGAAGAGGAAATCATGTTGATTCATATACTTACAAACTCAACAACATATTTTTTTATAGTGAGAATGTTAAAAGGTTATTTTTTCAGTAATATTGAGGCATATGATTCATTATTAACTATGGTCACCTTGCAGTACAATAGGTCACTAGAACTTATCCTGAGATCTAACTGAAAATTTCTACCCTGTGATCAACATCTTCCCTTTCCCCTTCCCTCTTCCACTGGTAATTACCATTTCAGTCTCTATTTCAATGATCTATAGTTTTTTATATCAGCATATTGTATATGCTTTCACTTGTATATAGATTCTAAGAAAAAATATTTTTTTTAAAGAAGAAGCAATGAAAATTCTAAAAAAGGGGAAGAGAAAAGTGGAGTGTACTATTGTCCTCATATCTGTAGGAGACTGGTTCCAGGATACCCTATGGATACCCAAATCTGTGGATACCAATTATTTTGTATGAAATGGCATAGAATCATAAATAATCTTGACAAATCCTATATTATGCTTTAAAACATCTCTAGATTGGTTATAGTACCTAATACAATGTGAAATAATATAAATAGTTGTTACTTGGCACTTCTTAGGGAATAATAACAAGAGAAAGAGTGTATATGTACAATATAGATACTTATTTTTTGAATACTTTTGATCTTGTTTGTGGAACCTACAGATACTGATCTTGTGGATAGAAAAGTCCTACAGTGTATGTTTAAAGATGAGAATGCAAATTGTGTAAATATTTTACTGAAAAAAAAGCTATTTCTGACATTGAAATGTGTATTTCATGCAAACCTGTTAAGTCTCCCTGTTTTTGTGATAGTATTTGTTAGAAGTTGAGCAATTTTCCAGCAATATAGCATCTACTGGAATATTAACAAATAACTACATTCAGATACTTTATATCCATACATTACAATGCCGCCAGAATTCATTTCTGCCACAAGTTCAAGCAATATAAACTTATGCAAAGAAGATTCTTTTCATTATTCCTTGAGCAGATCCTGATTAAGTCTTATATCTCTTTAAATATGCTCTTATTTGAGTTTACATGCACTTTATTTTTATACAAATGATTTTAAAGTCTGTTTTTGTTAAACATTATTTCCTAACAAAAAACTACACCTAAACATATGTTATATGTTAACAATTTATATTTATAATCTATATACTTATATCTGTATATATATGAAGAGAGGTGTGTGGCGAGAGGGGGAGAGTTATTAAACAGAATTCTTCTCTGGGTCCTTCTGTGACATCTGACGTATTTTCCTCAGTGAATCCGGGAAAACCTCTGGAAGGGAAATATGTGGGCGCTGTGGCTTCCCTTCATGGAGAGCTCCACAGGCCGCCCTTGCTCTCAGCTCTTACCTGAGTTCCCTGAAGGGAGTACCTGCTGCCTGTACACAGAACTGGGTCTCACCTGGTGCGCAGTGTGTGCTGCCAGACAAGATGACCACCCAGGACTCTGAGCAGGATCCTGCTACTTTCCTGTACCCATTTAGATAAAAGCAAGTGCAAATGAAGATCCTTTTCTTGAGGATGACTCATTTCAGACACAAGTCAACTTTATTGATTTGACATTTGTTCTGTTATTTTTGTTTCTTTATTTTTCCCCAAAGTAACCTTTGAGAAGTCTGAAATCACCAGACGCAGTGGCCTCTACTTCCCTCCCTCTGTTGGTACCTTACCACACGGCTGTGCTCTGGTATGGACTTCCATGTCCGGCAGAACTTACCTTGATCTTTTCACTACTGAGGAAGAGGTTTTTATCTCTTGCCATGGGGTTGTAAATATATGCAGTCTTCTTTAAAAGTGGGTGTATCTTCTTGAGTGTGTCCTAACCCATACTAAAATTCTGGTTAAGTCCAGTGCAGTCCATGCAGTACAGTGAGAAGAGAAATGAGAAAGGTGCCCACTGCCCAGTCCAGTCCCCAGCGTGTTCAATATGGCTTCCATGCCCAGGAGCCAGGTCTCATGACGAAGCCCTGGGCAATAGCACTTCACAGGATACCTAGGTCCTGGAGATCCTGTCAGACTTCTCACTGATGCGTTTGTTGTCTTCCAATGGTTCTCCAGACACTAGACTTCTGGGCTTCCTCTGTGTTTGCCTGATTCTCTGACTTACAGATCTTGGTTTCTCCTCTTCCTATCTTTGACTTTTCTCTGAAGCCAGGGTCTGGCCAGAGATGCTCTATTTGCCCAGCTCCACCCTAAGAGATCTCTGCTTGGGCCAGGCCCTATAATCCTCAGCCATCTTGTGGGAAAAGGGTTGGATAAAAATGAAAGGCACTTTCAAGTCTATACTACATTTTCATGTTCTGTCTTATTTCAACGTAAAGGGATTTAAACTTCAGATACTTCAAGGCAAAGAATGTTTTTCTATAATTATTTATTCATAATTAGTGATGAAGAGCCTACTAAAATAACAATGCAGAGCATGACATAACAACTGCTATATGATAATGATTCTTGAGGATGACTTTTGTATTAGTAACGGTGGCAACCTTTGTCCACTGTCTGCGCTGTTCCAGGAATGAATCAGCTCATATAATTCTCCCAACAACCTCTTTTTAAAGCAAGTATCATTAAAATGAATACACCAAAGTGCAAAAAAGTGTAAGAATCTTCCTGAAGTCATGCAGGTAGTAGTTGGAAAAGACAGGATTTGAGCCTAGTTAGTCTGACTCAATAGTTTACAGTTTTAACTCTGTTACTCTACTGCTTCTGTGTGCCAGACATTTTTTCATAAGATGGTCTGGCACCTATTCTAACAAGAAGCTACCAACATGAGATGATGTGATTAAAACCTTTAGGGAATCGTTACCTAGGAAATAAGCTTCATTTCGGGACAATTATTATGCAGTATAACCTAAAATACAATGTTCCTTTGGAAATTTTTAAGGGATAAATAAAATTACAGAATATTATATTTGTTAGGGGAAAGATTGATCATATATAATGAGTATTTCATATTCTTGAATTTTTTATATTTACTATCTAACCTTTACATTTTAAAAGCCAATTAAGAAGCTTTGAATTGAGTGATTTTTTTTCTTTCTTTTTTTTTTAAATGATAGCCCTAGTCAAGCTCAGATTTAAAGAAAAAATGTTAATGAAGACTTAGTATGGGAAATTAAGTCATCTGTTTTGAGCTGGTGGCCACTTTATAAAAAATTATCTTATTTGTGTGATGCATGCTGGTGTCTAATGGGACCAGTTTTATCAAGGATCTATAGATTTAGAATGTAGGTAATATAATAGGTCATTAAGGCAAATCTGTTAAATGAAAATCCCACTATGAGGCAACTCTGGGTGTATATTTTTCTATTTATATTTCAGAAAGTTACTCTCATAATCCCTTACTGTACAAATAAAGATACTCAACGTGTCAGATAATTCCACCATAGGGGAACAAAAAAATGTCATCTTGACTGAGATGTCAATAATTGTGTTTCTTTTGCTGAAGGCTCTTGTTCCCTGCAGAATGTTTTCTCCTGCATGACAATAGTTATTTCTTCTGTGGTCAAAATGATTGTAATAAGTTCCTTGATATGTGTCTCAAGAAACATAATGTCCTATACAAACCATTTGCTTGAAGATATAATGCAAACTTCAAGGTCACAGAACAGACATCAACAAAAAACTATTTTGTTTCAAAATGAGACTGTTTAAAATGATGTTTTAAAAACAGGAGTCTATCTGGGTTCAGCGGTGCATGCTTATAATCCCAGCTGCTCAGGAGGCTGAGGCAGGAGGATCACAAGTTCAAAGCCGGACTCAGCAACTTAGCAAGGCCCTAAGCACTTAGAGAGACCCTTTATCTAAATAAAATATAAAAAAAGAGCTGGGGATGTGTCTCAGTGTTTGAGTGCCCCTGGGTTCATATCCTGGTACCAAAAAAAGAAAAAGAAAGTCTATTTTAAACCAATTGCAAACTGTGCATGGTGTTGAGAGGAACATAAAAAGGTTTTTATGTTTTGTTATATTTTGTTTTTTGTTTTCTTTCCAAACAACCTGTGATTTTGAAAGATCAAGAAAGTCCCGATAGAAAGCCAAGGTTTGGAATGGAAATTCCAAATACTAAAGAAAGACTAGGAATGAAAGAAAGCTGTCATTCATTATCTAGGCAGCAATGAAGAGCAGCTGTTTCAGATGTGCTTTCTTCAGAACTGGTTGGATTCTCAGCCATCACCTGCATTACAAGTGCTCAATCTCCCTGGTTCTGCCTCCTCATCTGTAAGATTATAGATTTTTCATTAAATGCTTTATTAATTTTGAGTTTCAAAATTCAAGCTTTAGTCTGATTGATTTTTCTGAATGATGAGGTAAAAAATTTACAAAAATTGCATAAAGACTCACTATTCCTTTATGTCAGCCTGGCCTTTATAAGAATATTATTCCTAATGGCACTGTTCGGTGTTGCTATTACTCAGGTGCCAGGAGGTCCTGGTGTTCTCCTGAAGTTACTATCTCATCTGTGTCCCTTAAGCAGTTGGCACAAGTGTATAAGAAAACTGTTCCCTTTTCATGTAGATTTTTTAAATGAACCAAGAAAATGCACTGCAGAGTTTTGCAAGCTTCGGGGCTCATCAGAAGCTCTTGGAAGGCCAGGGAAAAGGCATGTCCCTTGGATTAACCT